TGTACAGGGCGCCGGGGCGGCTCGGGGCTATACAGCATGGAGGAGGCGACAGCCACGCTCCTGCACTAGGCCCTACAYGCACGGAGGGCACAGGGGCTATTTTTTCTCTTTTTTTTTTTCTCCTTGGAAGTTAACAATCTTATGACCAAAGCAGTACTGAAGAAGAAGAAAAAAAAAATGTCTGAGTTGACAGATTTCTTTTTTTCCAAAGTGGTACAAACACAGAGGAACAGCCTAGTGGAGGGTGGTATAAAATACATGAGTCCCGGTGTTCTGCTCCCACCGCTAGCGATCAAAGGCTCTGTCAAAACTTCGTTTCTGGCCGCGGCTTCGGAAGCGGTTCCTGCCGGAGCCTCCGCGCCGCCCGTTGCGGGAGCTGGAGAAGCCCCGGCCGCCGCCGCCACCGCCTCCTCCTCCTCCTCGCGGCGCCTCCAGCAGCTCGGGCAGCTCGGTGGCCACACACAGRCGCCACTGCTTCGAGTCCTCCCACCGGCCCTGTGAGAGCCAAGGCACACGCAGTGAGGTGACAGTGCCCCTCAGCAGCACAGCCTGCTGCCAAGCTATCCAGCTGCCCGGCCCAACACGCAAGGAAAAGGCTGGCAAAGACAAGGGGTGCAATTTCCCAACGGAACTGGCTGACACTGCTTTCAACATCTTAACAATACAAGCTGCAGGTGACTGAGAGCAGCCTCATCAAACCCTTCCCACGCTTTCCCACTGATGGGAATGCTGCAGGAGATCCTACTGATCCCCAACACCCACCTCGTGCCACCTCCAACCCGGAGCAAAAGGTTGTTCCAGGAGGGAGCAAATGCTGGCACATGAGGATATGCGCCCAGGGATATGCCCACCTTACCTGAAGAAAGGTGGGAAGTCTGGGGAACTCGGGCATACAAATGCTGATTTTATTAAAGGGAAAAAAAAAAAATCTTAATTTGGAATTTCAAAATGGAAAATCTGATCTGGAATCCACTTTGTGCAGGAAATTCTGGGTAGGGAGATGGAGATCCATGGCAACATGGAGAAAAGGTCTAAGCACCGTGAAGCAGGTGCCTGCAAACACCAATGCCACAGCAGCAAGAGGGGCAGGGGGCTCGCTGCTCTTCTCATGAAGTCTCAACCTACACATTTTTGGAGATTGAGGGATATATTTTTAAGAACTGATCAGTGTTTGCTTGTTCTGMTCTCCTCTTCCTCCATTTGGCATCCCTTTCAGCCACTATAAGATCAGCATACAGGCTAGATAAAGATCTTCAGCCTGGTCCGGTCAAGCCTATTTTATCCAGTCTGCCATAYCTAGAAACTCAAGTAATTACCTCTATTTCCTTTTGGTCTGCTGCAGGAATATCGAAGCACACACCCTAAAAAGAGAAAATAATTGATTCAAATGTCACCTTTCTGTAATCAATTGTAATTGATTACAAATAGGAAAAAAACATGCAACAGAAGCYAAAGAACTATGTATTTTTTCCATATTCTGCATAGACAGCAATTCCAGTTTATATTCCCTTGCTCCTTAACAAGCTTATAACCCTTTCCATCCTGAACTTCCACACTGACTTGTGCATTACTCATTTTGTATATTCTTCCAAAATCAGAAGCTTGGCTACAGAGATTTGAAACTTTGTGGTATGAAAATCTGCCRTAATGTTTCCTACATCAAATACAAGAAAATGCTTTGAACAGAGATAGAAGCAAGAGCAAGTAGTAGTAACAATGAAGCCAGTACCAAAGGGCAAATGAAAAKGACATGCTTTAAAAGGAAACTGAGATAGAAAAATGGTTCAATGACATAAACAAGTGTCCTCTAAGGCAAATTTTAAATCAGAAATGTTTTAAACAAGCAATCTGGTAGATGGCATAAGAAAATCCTAAAGCGAGATGCGTGGGTCAGCTTTTACAAAGGTAGAAGGAATGCAGGTGTGCAGAAGAACGCTAATAAGGCGCTGCAAATCTCTTCTCTTTGCTGAGAAAAGGCTACCAGGGCARCAAAGATACAAGAAACCTTACCATTCTTCCCTTGATGAAGCACATTCTGCTGACCTTCCTGTCAATATCGTCCCCCAGCTGCTCTCGCAGACTTCGCCACGCATAACTCATGTTGTTTATTTCTTCAGAGCAGCGTAGTATCATCGTAACAAACCCCTAAAGAGGAAGACACGTGCTTACATTTCATCCGGGCAGAGCTTCAGTTCCATCTACCAAACATGAGAAACCTGCTTATTCATGGATTATGAGCCCAGCCTTTAAGATTGCCACCGTTACAGCAGTTATAAATGCACTTGTTCTCCCGTATTTTAACTAAAAAAGTTGTTCTTTGTGGCTTGATTGTGTTTGCCATACACAAAATCGTAAGGAGATAAATAACTATGCACTTGGAGGGTGTTTTTGTCTTGCTTTTCCAAATTGCAGACGAGTGGTGAGCTGGCCCCACTTACAGCATCCGAGTTGAGCAGGGAGCGCTGCTCAATGGAAGTAGCGCCTGAAATGTGGGCGAGAGCTGCAGCCAGGGCGTTCACAGGCCCCTTCTCCTGTATCAGCCACCGAGCAGACTCCTTGAAGTACTCAATAGCAGTCTGAGGAACTGAGTCCAGACACCTAGGCATTTAAAGCAAAAAGACTCTTAGACAAAGGAAAAATAAGGCAGGGATGTTTGGCAGACCCTGGAACAGAGGAAATAAACAGCAGAACAAGACTTTTAACGGGGATCAGTTATTGACTGATATCACTGACTGATATCGCCACTCTTACAGAGAGATTGCAACCAACAATTCAAAGAGTCATGCTGAATTAGAAAGATAGGGAGATACTCTAGGGCTTCTGYCACTGCACGTACCTGATGGCATCTTTGCTGGAAGCTTTTATTATATCTGTAGCAGTAGGAACGCCAACACGCTTAAATGTAATGCCCTGAAATTTATAGTGAAATGCAGGTGAATGTTACAGGCCATAAATAATTGAGCTCTAAAAGAAATCTTGTTGGTTTTCAATGAAACAAGCAATGAAACTTTACTTGTTGTGTGCTTTTCACCATTTAACCTCTTACTTTTGCTACTGAAAATTACAAGGTTAAGCTCACCGGAGAAATGGGTAACGTTTAAAAGCATTTAGTGTACAAAAGTCAGTTGAAACGATCCCGTAGCCTTAAGTCAGATGAATAGAAACCACGTTGACTATTCCAGAAGAAAAGCCCTATGTGCTCTACACAAAATTACAAATCCAAGTAGCTATGATTAAACTTTATCCTTTTTATTTCTATAGGTGTAATCTGTCTGGCATTCACTGCAAATCGTGGACATGAGAATCTGCAGCACGCTGCCTGCTCCACAGTCGGCGACTGTAAACCCCCCATCTCCAAGACAGACTGAACTTCAGGTGCACGTTTACAAGGTATGTTCCATAAGGAAATGATTGAACAAAGTAAGACCTGGAGGTTTTAGCTGCTACCCTATCATGTTATGTTTGTGTGCCCACAACTAGAAGCAAACTGGGCCTTACCGCTTTTTGCTCCACGTATCTTAACTGGTTTTCTTCCTTTCGCTGATAAAAACAAATGCAGATCCCAGTTCGGCCAGCTCGGCCTGTACGTCCGGAACGATGGATGTAGGATTCCACATCCTTCAAAACAAATAACCTTATGCTTTATCCAGTTATATCAGCTCACTAAGAGTTAGGTTCACAACACAACAGAAGCTGGTGCAGCTCAGTCCAGGCAGTGCACAGCAACTGCACCGGGGAAGCCACAGAAAGTGGGTCTCCTACCTTTGGGGGCGACCCTTGCACAACCAGGTCAACTTCGGGGATGTCCAAACCACGGGCAGCCACATTTGTCGCCACCAGGACCTTAAATGCACCATTTCTAAAACCCTTCAGTGTTATCTCCCTTTGCTTCTGAGGAATGTCTCCGTGCAACGACTGGCAGTCCTGAAAAACAGGGTAACAAGTACCAAAGTTACTTCACTAAATTAACTGCAGAATGACACTCCCTTTTAGGGTCCCTTCTRGCTACAATATCATGAAGTACAATAGCTATCCTACACTATCAAAGAAGTGAATTATCAGAACTTGTATTTTAGGAGTCTTGCACTATTTACTCAGTGTTCCTATACCCCAAAGAGCTTTAATAACGTAAGGAAAGCAGAACAGCAACGCACGCCTTAGCAAAGGCCACAATAATTAGAGATGGATGCAACATCTGCTCCCCAACTTACAGTCCACGTCCTCTGTGCAAGACTGAGCTTGTTTCCAAAGAGGCATCTCCAGCAAAATGCCCTCAGGTCTTCACACTATTCCATTTCACGCCTTTTTCCAAAACAGTGTTACCTCTTACTCCCCTTAATACAATCTTATTTCCCCTCTGCCAATTAAAGGTCAAAACCAGAAGTGATTTAAAAGAAAAAAATAAAATACTATCGCAATGTTAGGATCACTAGAAGAGTCCAAAAAATCAATTTCAGATTAATGATTGGGACTATAGATTAATGCCACGTGAGAGAGGCAATATTTTGTTAGCAAGCACTAAAATGCTGAATCAGAAACCAGCGGGACATCAGTAATTTCCTCCTCTTACCTGCCAGGCTCAGAGTTCTGCATTGCCTACGCAAGATTTGATACCACTAACACCAGCAGTAACGCAGGGTAAGGCTCCATGCTCAGGTGTAGCTGTTAGTGAGGTCACCTAGGAGTGCAGGAGAAACCCTCCTGAACCCGGTTGTGGCAGATGAAAAAGCTTCTCCTTTCCCTGGGAACACAAGGCTACACTGCTTTCTAGACACATGGTAACCCAGCTTCTCCGTGAAAACACATACAGAGAAGCTGCTGGGAGAGCAACACAGGATGGTGGTGGTTGTATCTGYGACAGGTTTGCTGCCCAATACAGGAGATAAAAATACCTGCTTGATGGAAGCATTCAGAGCCAGCTCATTTGCCTCCTTCTTGGTCTCACAAAAGACGATGGTCCGCCCGTGGCTGCCGCTGTAGACCTGAATGACATCCCCAATAACCGCAGCTCTCTGAGACCAGTGACACTCTATGGCCAAATGCTGTGGAAAAGAATTCCAGTGTTTAGCTTGCGTAAAGATACAGGATTATCTTTCAGTCCATTTGAAATGGTAAAATCCACAAACTATGCTAACTGTATATATGTCTCCTTTCAATTGCAACTCTGATACATATATATTGAGGTCCTGCTTTTCTCTGAAAGCAGAAACAACAAATAACTGAAATCCCGCGAGCTGAAAGCCTATACAGTTACTGAGGGATGTTAAGAAACAGATCCTAAATCTAGCGACAGTCTGAATAGCTGTAATGTGTCACACACCTGAAAAATAACTCTCAAAGCAACTTTTTACCAGTACAGCTTGTGATTTCAGGCCAAAAAGAAAACAAATGAGAATTCCACATGGAGATAGGTTACTCACTTCTACTGTTGTAGCAGCCTTCTGAGTTCTTCTCCCAATAAGGTCAATCTGCTCGTATTTGGACTTCATGTATTTCTTWGCTACGTCATACACCCAATGTGGGCAAGTTGCAGAAAACAGTAGCGTCTGGGGATTGTCTTCAGAATCTTAAAACACAGAAGAGCGTTTCAAAACCTTGGCTTCTTGCATTTTATAGGGGCATACTAGCTTAGCACAAAGCAAGTTAAAAAAAATCAAATCTCCCTATCTAAAATATATAAAATATAAAAAGTAGAATTATTACCACAGAGGAGAGAGGAAAAGAAAAAAGCTCTCTGGAAAGTGAAAAAACAGCCTTCTTTCAAATGATACAAAGGGCAGAGAGCCTATAAATCCTTTCCATCAGAAGAGATCCAAGTACAATTTATAGACACATGTCTAAATGGTCTATAAAAATCCCCAGTTACTCAAYTGCAATTTTGCAAAGCTATGAACAATTCCTGGTTTTGCAACATCTCCTTCCCTATTACYTTCACAGCACATTTCCTGAAACACTCTGTTCAGTCTTTCCAAAATTAAGCCACCTTGTAAGCTACAAAAGCCATACCTGCGTTTCAGGAGACTAATGACTACTAACATTCCTTACTATTTGTTTAAATATTGCGATTACCCTTCTTGTACGCAACTCGTAATATGTCCTCCACTTGCTCGGCAAACCCCATGTCCAGCATCTGGTCGACTTCATCCAGGACCACGTGTTTCACCTTGCTAAGGTCCAGCTTGCCATTCTGAAGGTGGTCTTTGATTCGACCAGGCGTGCCCACCAAAATATCAATGCCACTTCTGATGAGATCGACTGTCAAAAAAAGGAGAAAGAAGTTAGCAGCCAACTAGCGAGTACATTAAAAAGACTTGTTAACTGAGTAATGAGGCAACAGCCTCTTAAACATCTGTAACTTCTCATCAGAACTTCTCAAATGCACGGATTTTCTAGCCATACAATCCCATTATCACACAGACACAAAGTCATACCCACACTCCACAGCCCTACAATGTAATGATTTTTAAAAAAGTAAGTGTAAATGTTAGCAAGAACCTAGATGGAATACTCTGTAAACACACACACAGAGCACAATCTCTTTTATTTTGGTTTCAAGTACATGGCAGACAAGGATAGTAAGGATACATTTGAAAACTATATGTAATGAGCTATTGAACTCCCCGTCAATGCCAGCCAAGTCCTTTTTCAGTTATTGGTCAAAAATGCCACTTACTTTGCCCATTATATGGAGTTCCTCCATAAAAACAGGCTACTGTGAGTTTTCTTGTGATGTCCTTGAAGTCTTTGGCAACCTGGTTTGCCAGCTCTCTTGTTGGAGCAAGAACTAATACCTAGACAGAAGGAAAACAATAAAGAGAGATTCTCTCGGAGTGAATTTTTTCAAAAGGCCACTAGACCTCAGTTATACCATTCAAACATTACACTATTTAAAAACAATTCAGATAGAAATAAAGTTATCTAAGCAAAGATGAGGAAAATACATTGCTTAAGGYTCTTGGAAAATGCTTAATCGCCCTCAGCACGTGTTCATTTAAGACAATCTTTTTTTAATGCACTATACAGGAGGTACTTAAATCTTATTAACTTTGTCTCTAGAGCATATCAGTGGTAAGAATTTTCTTCTAGATATGCACTGACTTTAGTTTAAGAGTGGTTGCAAACCTGGTAGCAGTGGCTTGACAGAAGGAGCCTTGAAATATTAACGCTGTAATTGCTTCCAACGTGGACACATTAAAGTGAGAAGCAGCGCATCGTGGTCGAGAAAGGCCTGAAAACTTTCCTATTTTAAGACCAGACTGCTTTGAAGAAAGCTCTCCTTTTCTGCACTGTGCTAAAGCTGCAAGCAGCACCCTCGGACAGCCACCCTCTATTGAGATTGCAGCTGTAAAGGTTCTGCATCTGGATAAATCATCTGCTTCTAGCTCTGCAACATGGGTTCCAGGTAATCTATGGGACATTTGACAAGCCAAATTAAACAAATYGAATTTTTCTCCCATAAATGAGGATATAATCAGCTCTGCCGTGCCTAGTTTTGGTGGTCATCTCAAGAATTTTGTGACAGGAGATACACAGCACATCTGCATTCCCTCACAGAAYGCAGGAAGCTACTCGTTAGTCTTCATCCTCTGCAGAAAAAGCCTCGACACCCAGTGTCGGTCCTAATGAAAAATAAATCCATTCTGGAAATCTTCTGTTTAAAAATCAGGCTTAAGTAGACAGACCTTTATCAATTAAAAGGATCTCTAATCTGTTGCTAACCTGGAGGAAAAAAAAAAGGCGGCATCCAAGAGATGTCCTAGGCACCAAATCCCGCAGCAAAGCCACCCATCACAGTTGGTGGTTACCTTTGGTGAACGGCCTCTTCTTCTTTCCTGGGTGTCCGCCTGCAGCTTTTCAATTAAGGGAATAGCAAAGGAGAACGTTTTCCCCGTTCCAGTTCGTGCCTGAGCAATGACATCCTTGCCYGAATACACCGGGTGGAAGGTCTTTACTTGCACGGGGAACAGGTACGTCACTCCTCGAGCTGTGGCAGTTCAAAGAGACTTCTTTAGTACAACCCTGTCACAGAGGCAGCCGTCCCAGGCTGCACATTCACCAGCTCCGGCCTAGGTCAGGGCTCTAGCATCACTTTGCTACATTGCACCACTGAACTCAGCCTAAAGAGAGCCCTGGGACTCCCCAACCCATTCTCCAGTTCCGTATCACCAGAGATACCGCTCGCTCGGACAAATGGAGTTGCTGTCCTTCAATATAGAGGTCTTAAAATGCTGTGGCTTTATTTATGTGATACTCCTTATCTCCCCAGGCAGATTTGTTACTTGCAAGCCAGAATCATTTCTGCTCTGATCTCAGTTTCCATTACATCCATCATCCTAACGTCCAAGATGCTTAGTTTATCAAGATACTTAGTGTATCTGTGATTCTTTTGCTCTCACAGAAGCAGCTTTGGCTCTCTGGGTGACATCTGTGCTTGCAACACACAAGCAGAGCACATCTCAAATGTGGACTGGATATGCTTAGAAGAAAAAAACATATATTTTTCTTTCCTGGGATCACATGATGCCAAAAAACTTACCCTGAAGCAGCTGAATGGTCCCTTTGGAAATAGAAAAATTGGAGAAAGCCCCTTCCTTCTGTTCCTCGGTCAACTCCTGTTTGGCAAACAACAATTCGGAGAGCGTGTGAGCACTGTACAGTCATTCGGAAATTCGGGAAACGCGCTAACGTCACCAATGTGGTGCCCAAAAGCCCCGTTTCCAGCGACACTCTCACAAGTGCAGCTGCAGACCCGTTCCTATTTCGCTTCACCCCGCGTTGCAAAGGTGATCGCTAAGGTGACCTGCGGTAAGGCCCCGTTTGGTATCTATAACCCTGCAGGTCCCAAACACCCCGGTGACTTTACAGCAGCCTGTTTAAGGAATCCCTGGTGGCCACGGGCACGGTCCCGCCACAGGCACGGGCCCACGCTGCCCGCCAGCCCGCGTTACCCTCCCCGCCCGAGGCTGCGCAACCGGGCCCGGCCCCGCCGAACCGG